CTGGAGGAGACGCGAGGGGAAGTTGATGAGAGTCAGCAGCTCTTCGATGTAGGGCGGAAGATGTCTCTCGGCAAAGCCTTCGGCGTTGGCGATGAGGGTGGCCTTGGCCTTCTGGATGACCTTCTCGAGCGGGGCCAGCAGGTTGGTGTCGCCCTGCAGGGACTTGAGGCCATCCTCCTTGAGTATCCGGTCAATAAACGAAGAGTCGTCGGTGAGATGGTGGTCCTGGGACGAGCGCGGGCGGGGCTTGGTGAAGTCGAGCTCCTCGTTGCCGACCCATTTCTTAAGGATGGACATTTCGGTGTTGATGAGGGCGATGGTGTTGTGCCAGGCGATGACGGCGTCGCAGGCGTCCTTGTAGGGCTGCGAGGCGGCGCGGGGATAGGCAGCCTCGAGGGCCTGGCGCGTGGGGTAGACGCTCTCGACCTTTTCGATCTTCTTGACAATGTCCTCGACCTGCTGGGCGGCTGTCTGGCCCGCCTCAGCCTCGCCGCCGACTTCGAACGAGATGATGCTCTCGAGGTTGGCGCGGATCTTGCTGCGGGTGTCGTCGACGATGCGGCGCTGGGCCTGCAGCGAGCGGCCGCAGACCTTGGCGCGGATGCCCATCCAGATCTCGGCCTTCATGGTGCTGTCGCCCTGCTGCTCGGTGCTACCGATGAGGCGCTTCTTCTCCTGCTTGACGACATCACCCGTGAGGACGCTGGCGAGCATGCTGTGCCACTCGAGGCGCTCGCGGTTGGCGGGGATCTTGAGCTCCTCGATCGAGGGCTGCATGTCGTCGTTGCCATAGTAGAGCAGCGTCTCCTGGTCGTAGGGGTCGTTCTCGACATACTCGGCGGTCGAGGGCGACTCGTCGTCCGTCTCGGAGTCGGTGCTGTAGCCCAGGCTCGGGGTGCGCAGGGCCGGGTCGAAGAAGTCGTCCTGCTGGTCCTCCTGGCGGATGCGCTGGACGTAGGCCTTTTCCTGGGCGCGGTACTCGGCGTTGGGGTTGCGGCGGCTGCGCGTGGCCGAGTTGTTGCGCGGGCGGTGGGCGGACGAGTTCAGCGAGAACTGCTGGGGGCGGCGGGCGGGTGCGTATGCGCTGCTGATGGTGCGGCCAGGTGTTGGGCGGGCGGCTCTGGTGGTCGACGTGGGCGCGCTGCCCCCGTTGGGCGTCTGGGGCGGCAGGTCCGTCATGATGGCAGGCCCGCGAGAGCGCGAGGAGCTGGCGTTGCTGTTCCACGAGTACTGGGGCTCGCGCAGAGGCGCCACTTGGTCGCGGCTGCTGGTGGTCGTCGTGGGCTCGCCGGGCGACGTCGTCTCGTCCATCGAGTCGCCAGACGACCCCGAGGCGCTGCTCGTCAAGCCCGGGCGTTCGGGCGCATTGACTACGACGGGCTTGGTCGCGTCCGCCATGGCCATGTTGTTCAGCAGGACGTTGTGGGGAGCGGCTCTCGAAAAACGCACGCTGCCATGCCCGCTCATGTTGACGACGACGGCCGCCTTTGCCGTTGTGGGTAAGGATCAGCGCCGAAACAGGTTCGCGGGATGTTGTGGCGGTGCAGCACAGACAGGTGGTGAGATGAGAAGAACAGCTGGATTGGTGACATTCACTGCACTCCTAATACTCACTGCACTACCCAACACTGCCTGGTAGCACCTTCACTGGTTCCTGGGCAGCTTCCGCGCCTTCCACCCGGCTCGCAAACTCCCTAGCCTCTCAACTCTTAGCCTCCCAGCTCTTTGCCATCCAAGACAGCAGCAATCTTGGAACTGCCATACAGCCTCCAGTCGCCACAAGCTCCGCGCTAGCCCCCCTAGCGCCATCCTTCCCTCATCCACATCCTCGAGGCTACCCCAGCGACCTCACCACCAATCTCGCTGCAGACCCGAATCGGCTGTCACTCCCGGGAGATCGATGCTTCCAGCTTCGGCCATCAGGGTCCATTCGGCCCTCGCCATTTTAAACTCACGATGTTTCCATTACCGCGTTCTCCTAGCACGTGTCTAGACTCCGCGACATGACCACGGCATTATGTATAGCCGTTGGGATCGGCCACCTGCATCGCGTCGAGTATGACGCAGCGTCAACGTCTGCTGTTTCACCAAACTGCTCGACAAAGCAATGCGTATTTGCTTACGTCGGAGCAGCACACGCCTTCGCAGGCGCACCCATGCCAATGGACATTGCTCACAAAAGAAATATGCATCACTACGGCGCGTACGATGATGACGTCAACCACGCGTTCCACACATCTGGGAAATCACCAATCTCCATCGAAGTTGTCTGAACAAATAATATTATCATCCATCCTATAGGACTATTTCACTGCACACCCCTAGATATCCTTCCTGGCCAGCTTGCTCTTCTGTCTGATCTGCTTGCCCCACTTGTAAAGCACAAATGGAATCGGGATAAAGGCAATACCCAGAAATCCCAACAAACTGCTCGCCCAGTTTATGCCCAACTTCTGATACATGGCATTGGCGAACAAGGGGAATCCTGCACCGAATGACGACCTCATCAAGTCGTTACCTGCCAGTACACTAGCCACAGAGTCGGGGTAGGCATCCGACAGGTAGGGTAGGACGGCCTGGAAGAGCGTGAAGGCAGCGATACCGAAGCATCCAGATCCGATAATGGGCACAATCCAGTGCACATCCGACCGCGAAGTCCATCCGAACCAGAAGAGACAGATGGGCACAAAGAAGCAGCCAACCATGGCAGGAATCAGACGCTTCTCTGGCGCGATGTTGCCATCATCGTCGAACTGCTTCTCCAGGTAGTAGTAGTTCCACGCGAAGAGCACAATGACGGCGATAAATGTACCAACGAGGATACCCAGGAACGCAACACCCTCAAGGCCGAGGTTGAAACCGTAAAGTCCTGAGAACACAAGAGGGAACGACTCGAACCAGATGTAGAGTAGACCGTAGATGAGTGCGATGTACAAGTTCAACAGGAATACAATGGGTTCCTTGAACATGAGGGTGATGGGTTTGAGAAGACTCATGTTGAGAACCTGAGGTGGTGTTAGCAGTGATTGGATATCGTGAAGAAGGATTACTTACGTCCTTGCCTGACATCTCAGCAGACATGATATCCGGCTCGCAAGTAAGACGGTCGTCGCCAGTCAGCTTCTTGAGCCTGCGCGTCCTGCGGTGCAAGATATTGGGCGCGCTTGTCTCCGGGAGGAGGAAGAAGAGGAAGACCCAGCAGAAGCCCGAGAGCCACATGATCTCCCACATGGTCCACCTCCAACCTTCGGCCATGACGGCAAAGCCACCCACAAGAGGACCGAGAACGGGACCGCAGACAGCTCCAATTCCCCAGACTGCAAGACCGTACACTTGTTTCTTGGGACGGTACATGTCGGCGATGGAGGCTCCTCCTGTTGCGAGTGCGGGCGAACCGAAGAATCCAGTTAGGAATCGGAAAGCGAGTAGCATGCCGAAGTTGACGGAGAGAGCGGTAGGGATCTGGAGAAGGACGAAGATGACTGTTGTTGTCGGTTAGCATGTCATGTCGATGTGAGCGAATGGCTGCACTTACGAAGGGTGATAATGTAAACCCAGAGACGGCCAATCTGCGGAATCTCGCTCATGGGTGACCAAAGGAGAGGACCAAGACCGTATCCAGCAACGTACAGCGTCAGTCCCAAGGTCGCGGGGACCTGAGCAACGCCAAACTCTGCCATCACGCCCATGAGACCAGGCGTGTAGATAGCTGAACCGATGTATACCGAGAAGGTGAGGAAGCAAATCTCAAAGGTGACGAAGTACCTCTTTCCTCGCGACCAATTCTTTGGGTTCTACAGAGCCGTCAGTACAATCCAAAGATATTAACATGGAGCAAACATACCTGAGCATCATCCGGACCATACCAATCAATAACGTGAAGGTCCTTGCCCTTCTCAGGATCGACTCTCAAGCCACTGGCCTCGTTGACACCATTGCCCACAGTACGCGACGAAGTCTCCGAATCGCGTCCCTCTCGGTTCCTCACACCATGCGTCTGAGCGAGCTCATCGATCTCGTCCTTGTTTTCCGGCGCCTGCGTAGAGCCATGGTAGGCCGCATACCCAGACTTCTCGTGGCTGACATACTTCTTCCAGATCTCCGGATCCTTCTCTTCAGGATATTGTAAGTACTTGTTGCGCGTCACAAGGCGGACGATATGGCCAAAGGCCGAGTCGCGGATGAGATCAAACATGATGCTCAGTCACGAGAAATGTGTTGGACAGAGCAGAGCAGGTAGGCTTGGAATAGAAAAAGACACAACTACTCCCATTGAAGCCCTGGCATCGAATGCTTAAGTCCACTACACACCCGTGACATCATCGTCCCCATCACGCCCACCAGCTCGATCTAAGAAACCCTAAGGAAGCTTATCCGTCCGCCAGGCGCCGCAAAGGGCACCCACGGCCTCCGAAAACACCCCTTGCAGTCACAACTGCCAAGGAAAAGAGGCTCGAAAAGCTTAGCTTGACACAAGATCTGGACTGGTGATGGCATTTGTGCGCGAGGCTATCGAAAAGTCCATGACGCGACCGCATCGTTGAGATCGGCGCCAGGGCACTCAGATCGCGCGCACACTCACGCGAAGGAGATCTGGCGTTTTACCTAATTCGCTCGGAATGCTGCGGATGGACTACGCGTGGTGTATTTGTGATGGGAGGAATGCGCTGGCGGACGGGCGAATGACGTGCCGGGTGAAAATGTTTATCTATCATTTAGGTTTTGTTGTTGATGTTCTGGACTGGATGTCGATGTGATGACGTCGTGAGTGAAGAGGTTGCGCGTGGCTGGATTGGGCGAGTCGTGCGCGCTACTGTTCATGACTCGTCGACATGTGCGATCGAAAAACCCGTGGAATCCGAGACGTAGACTTGATGTCTCACTTACTAGGGCGCAACATCGAAATTGCATCAGAGTAGAAATGGATGAGCATTACAATCAGTGACATGATCATTAAAGCAAGTAAGCAAAGCAAAGCACTTACGCCGTCAGTAGTCACCTCAATACCTATCTACTTTCATCCCCATCTCGGTCCTCAAGTCAAATTCCCTCATCTTCTCCATGTGTGCATCATCGCACACCATTTCCCTTTCCTTATTCACCCAGTCTTGCCAGGAACCAAACTTGTCCAACCTCTCATTGACACTAAGCCCATCATCTCGGGTCCTCATATCCATATCAGCGCCTGCCTGTCTCAGCACCGCAAAAGCCTTTACCCAGCACCTCGACACAGCGTAATGCAACGGCGTCCATCCATTTTCATCTGCGTGGTTTACGTCCGCGCCGTGGTCGATAAGCGCTTGCGCGATGTAAGGGTTTGAACAAAGACATAGTGGCGTCCGTGCCTTGTTATCTTCAGAGTGTGGTGAGACGCCTTTGGATAAGAGGAGTCTAGTAGCCTCTAGATTGTGAAACTCAGATGCGAGATGCAGTGGTTTGCGGCCACTGCCATCGCGAGCTGTGATATCGGTGTCTGCATGCTTGAGCAGGTCCAGTGATGGACTACTTTCCCTGTCTGCAACGCGATCCATGTGTAGAGGTCGTTTGAGCGCGATGTGGAGGGGACGGTCGCCGGTGTTTTGGCAGATGACGTTTGGGTCTGCGCCGTAGGAGAGCAAGGTGGGAACGACGGTGGGAGTATCTGCCATGCACGCGAGTGCTAGGGGTGTGTATCCCCCATGATCTTCCACGTTGATGATGTCGTTGCAGGAAACCCTTAACAGGAATTCCACAATACGGTTCATACTGGCCTGGGCTGCGTAATGCAAGGCAAGTCGTCCTTTTTCGGTCGTACGTTGTCGGACAGAGGCACCTCGTCTCAGTAAGAAAAGAGCTGCACCTTCATGACCCTCCACTATGGCAGCGATCAAAGGGGTGTGACCTGCATCGTCCACGGAGTTGATGTTAAGTGGCTCCTCTTCAGCTAGATCCAGATCAAGGAGAAATCTGAGCACATTGGCTTTCCCACACGCAGCAGCGATATGCAAAGCTCCTTGCCTCTTCTTGTTGACAGCAGACACGTCTGCGCAGCGTGTCACCAGAAAGTTTACCAGCTCCGCTTTCATGCCGCACGCCAGAAGAAGAGGTGACATGCCGTCGTTGTTCTTCGCGTTCATGTCTGCGCCTTTCCGTCTTAGTGCGTCAATGAGCTCTTTTTGATTGTATTGGACGGCAACGTCCATCGGAGTAGACCCATCGTCAGCCTTGTCGTCGTTCACATCAGAAATGGAATCCAGCATCCGGAACGCTAGGCTTTTGGCAACGTCGGCACTCCCACCATCGAACGCGCTTACTACACTTAGAAAGGCAGAAGACTGAGCGTCCGGTCCTTTCATGACCTTACATCGCCCACTTGCGAGCAAAAGATCGACGACAGGCATTTTGTCTGGACGGTCGTTTTCGAATCCCAAGATGGCACGATGTAGTGGCGTGACCCTCTTTTCTATGGTGGGATTTTGCGAGAGCTTGGCCGGATCAGCACCAAATTTGAGAAGTACTTCGACGAGTTCCAGGTTGCACGCCAGCCCGCTGACTGCGACGTGGAGTGGTGTGTAACCCATGAACCCGAAGATATTTGGATCGGCTCCGAGTCTGAGTAGCTCTGCAGTTATACCGACATCCCTAGCAGCTAATGCAGCATATAGCATGTTGCACATGGCTTTTGCTCTGACGAGCTCTCCGCCTTGATCTAAGACCCATTCGACCCAACCCAGGTTCTCCCCGTCGGTGGAATGGGGATCGATTTCTTGGTACATGATAGAAACGGCCTTCATCACTGGTATTAGTTCTACCTTGGATTGCGCAGTGGCCATTTGGAGTGCGACGCTATCCTTTGGGTAGTCGGGTCCACCAATGGCTTTTAACAGGATCTTGGCAGTAGCGAGATGGCCTTTCGTCAAGGTCATATCGAGGATCGTGTCGCCATCAGCCCAATCGACTTTCAATTCTGGTTTGTAATCTGCTCCGTGTGATATCAGGACCTGTAGTACTTCTGCATGTCCTTGTATTGCAGCAAACATTGCCGGTGTGAAGGACTCTGGATCCTCACTAAGTGCATTGATGTCTGCACCGCTAGCAACCAGTAGCTGTACGGCTTCCAATCGGCCATTCATACTGGCGAGTGATAGGGCGGCTGCTGATATCAGTTGCTGTTCAACAAGTCGTGAAGGCTACATCAACTTACTGAGACCCTCTACACTACGGTCGTCCACCCTCGCGCCTGCCTCCAACAAGTAACGAACGACTTCATGCTGTCCGTACTCCGCCGCCCACATCAGGACGGTGCAACCATTCTCACTTCTTTCGTGCAAATCTGCTCCTTTGGCGAGAAGTAATTTGACAATTGCCATATGTCCATGCCTTGCAGCCAGTATCAAAGGCGTCCTCTCATCCGTGCAGGTCTTACTGACCTCTGCTCCCTTGCCGATGAGAAAATCAGCCCCATGTATCATGCCGTTCGATGCAGCGAAATGTAACGCGTTAATATCCTCTGTCCCAACCGCTTCCAAGCTGGCGCCATGGTCGAGGAGAAGCTGGATGATCTGGGGTGCTCGCTCTTTCTGCATGACGGCATAGTGGCTGGGAGGAAACCCATCGAACGGGCGGGTCACATCCACGCCTCTTTCTAGCAAGAGAGTTATGATGGCGATGTCTTGCTTCCAAATGGCGAGGATTAATGGTGATTCTCCCTCGTCTGTTCCATGTTCGACATTTGCACCGTCGTCCAACATCTTCTTCACACCATTTAAGTCTCCGACTTTGATCGCATCGTGGAACTCATCGTAATCCCATAACCAAGGTCGGCTTTCCCTGGATTCGTTCTTTCCTCCGTTGCGCTCTGTTTCCTCTGTCACCGCTGTGGTCGGTACGGGCGTGCCGTCTTGGGATCCGGGGACGCTCAGAACATCGAGGTCGTGCTCAACAATTTCAAATCCGTCATCGGAACTGCGCGAGGTTTCATGCACAGTGTCAGCCCTTGGTGATGGAGTTGTCGCGCTCATGTTGGGTATGGAAGGCACGCCTGGAATTAGTGCAACGACCTCGAGCGTCGTCCGACCGGCGATGATGATGTTCCAATAAACGCGCCGAACAACTCTTGTCAAGATTTTAGAAAGTATGAATTGAGGTGCGACGTTATCGTTGTGCGTGTATGATCTGGCGGCATTATGACTTCAAAGCTGAACTTATCAGCTGCTAGGCAACACTGCCCATCGGGCGCAAGGCAGGAAGTGTGGCCGCGCTAATGCTGCACAGTCAGATTGGTCAAGCAGTCTGGCGGGCGCAAGAGAGGGGTAGTGTGGCGCATGGCATGCAGTGCAGCAAAACCTCATGTTTATAAAATTTTCAAAAGCTATGGATACATAATCCGAGCGCACGAGAGAAGGAACAGTCGATCGATCGGTTTAGGCACTGGCGCTTGCTGAAAACGTACTAGTCGTCCTTCTCCAGCCATTGTTTACACGCCTCGTAAACCTTAGGGAAGGCGTCGTCAAGAGCCAGAAGCTTCTTGAACTTGTCCTCGCTTATGCACTTGACGAAGTGTAGCATCGACACAAGGATGAAGTCGGCATACGAGACTGCTCACAGGTTAGAATGTATGAAGCCGACATGATTCAGCCAGCGCATTGTCACTTACCAGTCTGACCCAGGAAGTAAGGTCCACCGTTCTTCCTCAGTAGATCGCCCGCCTCCTTCGCCGGTGCCTTAGCCGCCTCCCAACAATCGTCCGCATTGGCGTCCTGTTCGACTTGTTCGAGCGGCTTCCCGAACATCTTCTCTCTAGTCTCATTGAAGTAATCCGCACTCGGCTTGTTCAGCAGCACAACTGGTACCTGAGGAATGAGTAGTGGTCTCAATGGGCCAGCTATCTTGGCAATATGGTCCCTGACCTGCACAACGATGGGGTCGTCGAGATGCAAAGACGGAGTTGGATGTTGCTTCTCAAGCTCATAGGCAATGGGCCAAGAATCCATCTGATAGGTGCCGTTCGCATGCTTGATAGCGGGACTGGTGTACTCTGCGAAATAGCCTGGCGCGTCCTTGGGGGTGGGTGGGATGCCGAGGGCTTTGAACTTGGGGGCCAGGTCAGGATATTCTACCCATTCGGTCGTGTAGTCGATCTTCTTGTAATTCAGTACCATGCGAGCTGCGCGCCTGTCAGAAGGATCAAGATAGCATTTGTAGTGTGGATGAACTCACTCTTCCACGGGTTCAATGACCATGAGGAACCACTCCTGCTAGGCAGATCGTACAGAACCACGTTTGACGACGACATGATGTTTTGGTCTCGATGATTGATAGTTAACAGCAAGATTGAGATAGACGCGATAAATATGAAGCTCTGAGACTGGTTGACATGACGCCCTTCGTGCCTTCTCCACAGTCATTTGTCATCTAGTGTTAGGTGGGGAACACCTGAGGCTAATCGGCAGTCGCTCTCGCGCGCGGGCATCATCGTCAGAGTAACCATCCCCCTGTTTTTGCGACGACGGATGCGTCGCATGAGTAGCACAGGAGCATCAACATGCCTCCTACAACTCCGAGGATTGGTGGGTGCCCGCAAAGGTAAGAGCTGACAGTTTGGCAACCGCGGCCGGTTATGTGGGTACTCACTCCGCGACGCTTACAACAGCAACAACTACAACAACGTTGACATCGGCCTAAGCTTATCTCCGCCCTCGAAGAGCTTCCACAACTGCATGGTCGAAGTCAGCTGCATTTTGCGACATACTGCAAGTTCCGAGCCTTGCGCTTCTACCCTCCCGCAGCTGCATCTTAGGCGAATGAGCGTTCCGGCCCCCCATACTTGTTGTTCGTGGCGTACAACCGCTTGGATACTACTGGACTAGAAACGCCTCGATACTTCGCTTGCATTCAACAGCCTATCTAGCTAACAATAGGACTACCGATCGCTACACTCGTGAGTCTAGCGTGAGACTCAGCCTCCAGTTTGGGAAAATCCAGCCTACCAAGGATGAAGAGGGGTGGGCTGATGTAGTTCTCCGAACGCATGCTTCACGATAGGCGCATGGTAAGTCGTTGAAGTACTTTTTGCGCTTCTATTATTACAACTTAGTACTGGTTGTCGTCCGTTTGTCGCTGGCAGTTCTCAACTTTGGCCTTGCTTCGCCCACGCTGTGCAACGCCAAAGGCTTGCAGATGCGGCTGTTGTGGCCCCCAATCTTTCAGCCCCCAATATAGTCGTCGCGCGGGAACCCGTCCGGTAGACAGCGATAAGAGCGCCATGTGCGCTCAAGAGGATTCTGCATTTTCTCCACTCCAGATAATCACTCTTACTACTTCTCTTGGGAGCCCTTGCAAGACTACTGCCGAATTCCTTTCACATACTCATATACCCGGGGAACACGACCACAGTGTCGGTACTTTCGCCATCGCTAAAGAATGCGCGTAACGCCTCGCTCGCTCGCTACCTAGTTTGCTATCTTCGCCCAAGACACCTGCAGCCTGCCGTCTGACGGCACACGAGGTTCCAAGCCACGCAAAATCATCTCTACAGTTGTAGATTTGACAGAGCACAAAGACACCATCCCATCGAACATAGACAAAAGAATAAGAACCATGGATCGCAGCCGCACAGTCAGTGGAGGGCACTCCGACAATGCGCCATTGATCAGCTCCGCCGAACCACTCAGCTACGACAGTGGTGATGTTGCGATGCAGCATGTCGACGACGCATCATACTCGCCATCCAACTCACCAATGCACACACCATCCATGGTCCAGTCTCCAGAGATCATAGAGTCCAAGGGCGGATTCTACGCCAGTGTAGGCAGCCCCAGCTCCACCTTCGATGTTGAAGACGGGACTCATCACCACAAACACCACCACCACGTCAAGCGATTCGACCAAAGAGAGGCACGGAAGACACTCCTCAAGACAGGTGCTATGAAACTCCTCGTAACGCTGTTCTTCAGCGCAGTGATGTGTGTTACACTCAAATGTTGGGAAGGATGGCGCCGCCCCGTCGTTCTCTCCAAGATCGATATCCGAATCTTCAACTCGCTTACTCTCGGTCTCTCGCTGTGTCTGGGTTTGAACATCTTGGCCTCGTTGAAGCACTATGCATCAGTGTTCCGATGGTCATTTCTCACTAGACATTACGTTAGTCTAGAAGTATTCGACCTGATCCTACACCTGAGTTCGCTTGCCAAGGTTACGAAACTGATGATCCTGTCGTCACCTGGCTTCCGGCGTCAGAAATGGCTGCGCAAATTCCGAATGTTCAAGGATGTTAGAGACGATGAGACGAAGTGGATGTGGCTAGCGTGTCTGGCATGGCTGGTTCTCAACATCGGCTCTCAGATCCTAGTGGCACTGCTGAGTCTGTTCTGGCCGATGGAGAACTCGGAGATACCACTCTTGTCATACGGGAATGTAACTGTAGCCGATCTGAACGATTGGTACGTCGACAACCCGCCGCGCGAGATCGACCCCGAGATCAGTCTCATCAACGAGACTTCGCTGGAAGCGGCGTGGATGTACGGCATGGAAGCCATGGCATACCCCGAATTCAATCTTACCGATAATATGGACGACATGATTACCGATCTATCCGGCATACCAGGCACACCCATCTACCGCGGCAACGGCGCGTGGCACTACCGCTTCTTCAACCGCGACCCAGCCCACCAATGGGTCAACTACCTTGCCAGCTCCCGCAACATCACAGCCCACGCATCATGCGAACAACTCGAAGTCAAGGACGGCAAAGTGCACGACGTACCCGACGAATCCCTCTACATCATGGCTCGACACCAAGGCGACGATGACTACGTTAAGTGGGAAGTCACTGAACAAGCCGGCGGCTCCGTAACCTGGATGGCCTCTGTTCCCGAAAACTGCGGGCCAAGATGTACGAACTTCACCGTCATGCAACTCCCCGAGTCGGACAACAAAAAGCACGCGCGCGTGACCGCCGCCTCCCTCTTCCTCTGCAACAACACACTCGGTAACGTAACCGCGATTAACGCCCCCAACGACATCGATCCCCGCGACCCCGCCGACTTCAGGGCAGTCTGGGGCTCCGATATCTTCGCTCGTACAGCTGCTGGTGCCATGGGCTGGACAGGTATACCATGGAACGGTTGGTTCGACCGCCAAACCCGGTCCTACAGTCAAGGCACCAAATGGTCGCCCGCACACAACATCGCAAAAAATGAAGTCGAAGACCTCCTCATGCGCTTTACCATCGGCGCTGTCGCTGCCTTCGATGACCATGGCATTCGCTACAACGTCACGCACCAAACCGTCGTCCCATCGCAAGGCCAGCAACTCGACGTAGACTGGTCCTACGTTTTCAGCATCCTAGGCGGCATCTGCTTCATCCAATTTCTCGCTCTCTGCCTCTTAGGCCTCTTCGCCAACCGCACGATTGTCCGCGACGAGAGCTTTTTTAGTATGGCCATGCTGTTGAACCCCGTTGTTAGTCGTATTGGTGGCGATGCGGCGATGGTTATGAGTGGGGATGAGATTAAGGCAGCGAGGGCGCTGCGGTTCAAGAAAATCAAGTATGATTACCATGAAGGGGAGAAAGGGGAGCCGAATAAGGTTGCTATTTTCTTTGAGGGTGAGGATCGCAGGGAGAGTCGGAAGAGTTGGGCTGCGGGAAGTTATAGTTAGGGAATGAGTGTGCGTCGGACGTAAATCAGCGTTGTTTCATGTAATGCATATAGTTATCATTTTGAGTCAGCTACTTCAATAGCGTTATAGTACTCTAATCGCTCCCTCATTTCTTCTTACCGTCCAAATCGGTGTAAAAGTTCCATCCAAAGTTACCTGACGGAACGTTAAACCGCATCTTCTTATCAATGCCAGTAATCTTCTCTACATCCTCCTTAGGCAGCGCAAAGTCTCCCTCCAGATTCGCCTTGATCCTCGACTCAGTCTTGCTCTTGGGAATAACCGAATGGCCCTTGGCAATACCCCACGCCAGCGCGACCTGCGCACCAGTCTTGCCATGCTTCTTGCCAATCTCCACAAGCACAGGGTCATCCATCAGCTTGTTCATATTCTTCCCCGAATCGTAGATTTCGTTCTGGTTGCCAAACGGCGAGTACTGCGTCACATGGATACCCTGTTGCTTGTGGAACTCCGTGAAGTCGTTTTGCTGGAGGTAAGGGTGACATTCGATCTGATGAGCAGCAGGTACAACAGACGTTTCCTTGATCAAGCGTTCCATTTCCGCTTTACTGAAGTTCGAGACGCCGATTGCGCGGGCTTTGCCGCTTTTGAAGCACTTCTCCATGGCTTTGTAGGTGTCGACGTAGTCGCTGTCGCCCACTTTGACTTTGCCGGCGGAGTCTTTGGGGAACATTTCTGAGCCCCGAGCGAAGGGCGAGGGCCAGTGCATGAGATAGAGGTCGAGGTAGTCGGTCCCGAGGTCCTTGAGGGAGGCATCGAGTGCGGCTTCTACGTCGTCGGGGTGGTGCGAGTTGTTCCAGAGCTTGCTGGTGATGAAGAGCTCGGAACGGGGGACGCCAGACTTTTTGATGGCGTTGCCGACTGCGGGTTCGGTGCCGTAGATGCGTGCTGTGTCGATGTGGCGGTAGCCGGCTTTGAGGGCCATGGTGACAGCTCTATTTTCTGCATTAGTAAAACAACACGCTTCTTAACGACAAGACAACAGCTTACGGTTCCTGGGCTTCCTTGTCCTGCCAAGTTCCAAACCCAATGGCAGGAATCTTGGCGCCTGTGTTGAGCGTGTGGGTTGTGCCGTTGTGCGCCATTCTGATTTGTTGCGGGAGGACTTGTCTGGTTATTTGTGAAAGTCGGTCTGTGGACGTTGTGCGTAAAGAACGCGAAGCAGATGAGGCGAACATGTTGGCTTTATGTGTGCTTTGAATTGGAGTATCTGGTTCGCTCTTAGTGAGTCTTTATGGTACTCAAAAAGAGGGTAGGGCATCGTCATGGCGGGCGATGAGCTTCCGAGGTTGAAAAACGATGATGTCACAGGGTTCACCACAACCATCATGGTGTCGATGGAGGATGCGGGAAGCTAGACGGCAGATAACGAACGTTTGACCTCGGGAAGGCTAGAAGCGGAGGACACGCTTGACTGCTTCTTGGAATGGTGTTGATCATCACTTTGTTATGTGGGTGTGATGACATCTGATTCGGGGTTAAGCACCACCCGGAGATACCCACAAAGCTTCGCATGCGAAGGATGTTACAAGTGGAGAAGACGATAAATGCATCTTTGCTATTAGACACGGCACGCCAGCCTAGGAAAAAACTAAACAGCCTAGAGCCTACGTT